CCGAACGAATGCGGATATGATAAGCTAATTTTGAAATCGGATCCACCACCTGCGTCCAGCCACTCTTGTCGTTTTCGTCCAGACCGTCGGATCTCGCTATCCGCCACCGGCCCGTTTATTGAGTTATGGAAGTGACAAGCTTTCTGGGCCTTTTGAAAGGGGATATGTTAGTGGGCCGTACTTTTGTTTTTACTTCATATGACTTGGACACGACAAAGAGTGCGACCTCTAGGGAACATAGGAAATCAGAGCTTTGTTTACGGTCCTAATCTTCCGAGGAGTCCTGATAGGCTCAGCGTTCTAATAGGAACAGTATTCTTCCCATCAAGCCTTTGTGCTTATATATATATGAGATTTAATATGAAAAAATTAAATCATATTTACTCCTCTGATCCTGTGCCGTTCGTGCTGCTCTTAACCATCAAGCTTTCTCTTATTAACCAATTAAGCTTTCTCTTGCAAATCTACGCTCAGGTATACATAAATCTTCTTCTTATTATTTCGCCTATTATTTTATTCTTTCATATATATTACCTATAGTTATGATAACTATTTGGACACTAGAAATATTTCTTACTATGTTTGTCTATCTAATGACATATAAATTCATGGAGTTACCTGACATATTCATATCTAAACTTGGACTGTTCTTGCTCATAGTTTCTACTTTTCTTTGATCTTGTGGTTTTTGGTGCGTGCGCATAATTAAAATTTTAGGAAAATAATGGAATATTCACAGCTGAAGAAGATTCATCATGATAAACCAATGAAAATAGTTAACTAGTGTTGTATGCGCTTAAAACAATAAATTTCTCAAATTAATTTAAGAGGTTAATGTTAAATAAAAGAAATAAGTATAATAAAGAAAGAATTTTATCGGTGGTTCGAAAAATTATACAACTTTTATTGATAAAACTCTTATTTAAAAATAATTCTTAGTGGATGCATCGTTAGGTTATGCTTTCCCTCAAATAATTTGTATTTTAAGATTTATATGTTATATATTAATATAACTAGATGTTCATCTTATCTTTTTGACTTATAAATTACTTTAAGGAATTATTGTAGCAATTTTTTCCAGTTGTTTTTCATTTCACAAACAATAAAAATCAATGCCATTTGAGATTAGTAAGTTATATGACTAATTATTTGTTGTGCGCGGTGGAAGCTTCAAAGCGACACGAACAATAACTAGAGATAAATCACAACCAATAATAAACAAACACAATGACAGCAAGAACAAACCAATTTTAACGTGGTTCGGCAATTGCCTACATCCACGAGGCAAGAAGGGGATGATGTTTTCACTAATAGAGAAGAAGAGTACAAATTAAGATTACAAATTACTCAAAGGAACAAACTAATCTCACCAAAAAGCTCTTAATCTCTCCAAACAAAACCCTAAACAAATAGCTCAGAAAATACCTCTTTTCTGTGCTCCAAATATGATGCAGCATAAACATGTACCAAAAATATTGCAAGTGCACAACCGTGTCAAGTTATAGTATAAAAAGTTATCGATCCCACGAGAAAGGTGTTTTGTAGGAGAAAATTAAAATTGGTTCTTATGTTGTGTGCGTAACAAATGGGAGTGATGAGTGAATGTGATTGTGGAGAGATAATGAAGGTGATAGTGTGTAAATAGGCAAAAAAATGTAAGTGAGAGTGGATGTGATAATGAATGAATAATTTTCATAAGGAGTGATGAATAAAATCAAGAATCAAAAAGGAAAATCAAGAATGAAAATAAAATTCAAGAAAGTAAAGATGGCGGATTCAATTAAAGATATGAGTAATCTAGAATTGCATCAACTTCTTAGAAAATGGTGATTCCCTAGAGGGTTCTAGCCTAAAGGCGAATCAAAGAAAAAAAAAACTAAACCCAAGAGGGTTCTAGCTTCAAGGTGAATAGTGCAAGAAATTAAAATCTAACTATAAAATAAATTGCAAAATCTAAACTATAAAATAAATTGTATGAATTAAATACAAGAAAATAAATCTACTCTATAAGCATGAAATAAATCAAATCTATAAGCATAAAATAAATCTAAGGTAAGAGGGTTCTAGCATCTTGGTTATTTAAACAAGAAAATAAAATCTAACTACAATCATGAAAATAAATCTAAACTAATAAGCAATAAAAGAGAAACAAAAGAGAAAACAAACCTCTAAATTAATCTTCATCTCCATCTTCATCGTCCAACAAAGAGAAGAACAATTTAAAATGGTGAAAAAATTATTTTATTAATTGTAATAAAAGTTACAAATTTGGAAGGTCTTCTCAAGAGTGGCCCTCCTCTCCAAATGGAGTTACAAAATTTTTTTACACCCCTAACCCCTCACTCTCTACCCCTATTTATAGTAAACATCAGTGAATGAGAACCATTGGATCGAAATCTTATTCAAAAACCATGAATCTCAGCCTTAGATTCGTAACAGAATGACGATGGCATCGATACCAGCATCGATAGGGGTATCAATGCTGGCATCGATGCCCAGTGCGCTGCAATTGCAATCCGCAGCTTCTTCTTCTTTTATGCTTTGGGCTTGGGCTTCTTTGGCATT